AGCATTTCTTGTAAGGGCCTTCTGGGTTTTTGAGCATGTTTGGGATTTTCTTCAAGTTCTTCTATCTGAGAAGGTTACTAATCTGGGGCTTAGGCTATAAATGAGTTTTTTGCAATGGTTCAGTTGGTAAAAAGTCAGATCAAAATCTCCAGATTCCATGATGTGTTTATATGAACGTAAAGGCTATCTGGAAATGAAAACCAAGGCAGTGTGCCATGAAGATGCACATTTATGTTGTCTGATGGAAAGAAGTGTAATTTTATTTTACAATTTTGTTCCAAGTATGTGTGGTTATAATGCAGAAGCAGCACTAGATAAATGTATTCCTGTGCAGGTGTTCATTTAATGCAGTACACATCTGGATAGTGACAGAATGTAAATCTGAAATTATAGTCCTGAATGCATTCATATATTTTAAATATTGTTCACAATTTCTTTTTGCAGAACTGGGAAGAGAACTCGGTGGGGCTTAATAATGGATGGCTGGAATTCATTAATACGTTACTACAAAAACAACTTTTCTGATGGATTTAGACAAGTAAGTAAAGTGTTTAACCATGGGGGAGTGTATGTGATAAACATTGTTGTGCATTCTAACTCTTGCCCTCCCTTTCTCTTCCAGGATGCGATTGATCTTTTTCTTGGAAATTATTCAGTGGATGAAGTAGAACCTGCTAGTCCTTTACATGTCAAGAAAGATTGGAAGTTCTTAGCTGTGAGTATGAAGACTTTATTTGTAATAAGAGAAACACAACCATTCAGTCACTGGCTTCATTATACCTGAATAGGACTTGTCAGTTAGTCATGAAGCATCCCTGTAATCTGGTAATGTTTCTGTGACACCTGCTTATAGGATTAAACCCAGACTGCCCCTTGACAGAAAATGGAGTGTCCTTGAGGTATTGGAAAAACTGCTGTTTTTTTTTTTTTTCCAAATATGCTTCACCAGGTGGAAGGGGGAGAATTCTGTTAGTCACTATCAATGACTGTTTCCTTCTGCAGAAGAATCTTGTGGACTTCTTTTCTCACACTTCATGCAGAAGCATAGCTTGTAACACAAAACCCCCATTCTTTTCACTTTTTTCACCCTTCCCTTTCTATTTTGAAGTGGGATTTGGGAACATAATGGGTTTAACTGGTGTATTTATTTGCATTTTAAGCAAAGCATAAGCCTCAACCTCTTTTTTAATGCACAGGAGGTGTATTTCAATTCTAAACATTATGATTGAATACAGTCTTCCAGATTTTGCAGCTATCCACACTTTTATTTGTACCTGAATGCAGGTGAATTGAGAAGCAAAGCAAGTAATAGCTTTACAGTACTACCCATCTTAAAAGAAATTAAGGAACATATGTACATATTGCTGTATCAAGTGATTATTCTGTTTCTCTTTCCTCAGTTGCCTATTATTATGGTGGTTGCTTTCTCCATGTGCATTATTTGTTTGCTAATGGCTGGTAAGTCACTATTGAGTTTGATTGTATAAAACTGGCTTATTTCTCTGTGAATTTTCTGTAAATGGCTACCAGTAACTATTCAGTGTAGAATTGCTTCTCAGTCCTTCTAAAGGGTGCTTGAACATGGCTCTGGAGATTGAGGTTTAGCACTGTATCATTAGTGTGGAAAAAACTGAGATGCTGTAGAAAACAATATTAAAACTCATGCAGAAGTCAAGTAAGGCACAGTTAATTATCTCCAAATTTAGATGCACCTATAGCTTTATTGTAGGCTGGATGAAGCCCCAGAGGAATACCTCTCTTTTTGGGCAGAAAGACAATTCAGAGCTGTCAGATACAGGCATAAGCCTGGTTCTGATGGATTTCCCTTCAATCTAAATCTGTGTTGGGAGTGGTGAAGGTTTTTGCATTCTGCTTTTGCCTTGAATTTTCTAACATTGTTGCCAGTAGCGTTCTTGACTGGCTTCCATAGATCTCTGTTCAATGTGTTCCAAGAATTGTGTGGCAAATACAAATATTCCAAGGTAAGGAAACAAAAAGATCTGTGAAAGACTTCTGGTTTCATTTGACAACAAACCTCTGAGGGAGAGCTTGAAATATTTGCATGTGTCCTAAAGTAAAACTGTCTGCTAATTGGAGATAATGAGCTGAAAGGTTTATCTGACTCTTCTTCTCAGGTGATACATGGACTGAGACACTGGCCTATGTGCTTTTCTGGGGAAGTGCCAGCTTTGGAACTTTTGCTATCATCCTTTACAACGGCAAGGATTTTGTAGATGCGCCCAAGCTGGTCCAGAAGGAGAAGATGGACTGAATTTGTGTGTGTGGAAAGCGGCTTGGTACTGAGGATTCTTCAAGCCACACTTGGAGTCTCTACTGACCTGCTTTCCACACCAAAAATGCCCTTATGAACATTCTTCTTTGGCAGTGGGGGGTCAGGGGTAAGGAAACGGTGTCCTGTGGTGGTGGTAGCTTTCAACTGAGACCTGACTTGGCAGTCTTAGTTGCAATGGTCTTTGGAATATTGCATTAGTGGACAGGGCTCCACTCTCACTGGGGTAATGCAAAGACAAAAGCCAGCTTTTTGGTGTCTGGAAAGTTCTTGGAGCTTAAGTGGACTGCTTAAGCTTATGCTCCACCTGGGTTGTTCCAGCTGGTTTTTTGGCCTTGACAGGAGAGAGCTTTGATGCTGTTCGTGTCTCAAAATACCCAAATGTTGAAGCATTATTAATGGAACATCTGTTAGGGATCTCTGAACAAATATGGCTTCTTACCAATAAAAAGTCCTGGTCCAGACTTACAGCTGGATTACGTTTGTTGTGATAAAGTCTGTGTTAAGGAGTCCTTTGTGCATATTCGTGTGTGGATTCTTTTCACTAAATATGAAAGATCTTTGAATCCTAATGCTATTCTAAAACGAGGTTTTTGTCCTGTCTTGTTTATCTAGAACTGATGCAATATTCTGCTAATCATTGTTTGGGTGAAAGGGCAGTGTAATTGGATGTTCCTGAAGTTGCAAATGTCTTGCACTGTTTCAATACTACAGTCTCCATATGAAAATCCAGTAGTTAGCGAGTTAAAATGTAGAATTTTCTTTCTGAAGATGTAAACAAAATCAAAGAATGTAAAAGTCCTTTGCAGTGTTTATTCAACCTTCCTTATGCTAAAGTTCCAAAGTACTTCATTACTTTAAGAATGGGTCACAACATAAAAGATGAACTTCATATTGTTTTGCTAGTCAGCTGCTTCTATCCTTGGTTATGTTGAAATAATTAATGACAGAAGGAATAACAGCCTGAGAAGAACGCAGTAAGTCTAAACTCTGAATTTCTACTTGGGAGCAGCAGCTTGCTTTTCATGCATGATACTGTAACACACTCTTTTAAGAAAAAAAAAATCTGCTGACTAATTTGTGCTGGTTAATGTGTGTCTTTAAATTTAGTGCTTCCAAGCTGTATAAAAATAAGGACCAATTTTAAACTATTTTGTCACTTATTTTATATGGTTTGTTCAAAACCAGACATGGAACTTGCTTAAGGCGCTGTGCATTGTTTAATATTTCCTGTAAGTACAGCTGTATATTCAGATTGCGAGTATAAAATTTAAATGGGGGGAAGGGACAAACATGTAGAATACTACTAGGGCTAGCACAGGTGTCACTATTGAAGCTAGAACACAAAACACTGATACTCCAGTGTTGCCTTGTGTTATGACTGAAAATATGTACAGATCCTTTTTTTTTTTTTTTTTTTTTTTTTGCAACTGTTCATTTTAACCTTGAATGTTTATGGAGGCCTCTTCTGGGTTTTGTGTAAACATAACCTGTTCATGAGGACTAGTACTTGCAAGGTATCCATTTGCTTCTAGATGCTATAATGGAAAAATACCACTTGGTGGCTAACTGGAAAATCCTCCTAACTTAAAATTTTCAAAGGTGAAGTTCCTCATGGGCACAAAGTACAAGAATATCATAGACTCACTATTTGAAAGCAGTGGTTCTGGTGGCTCAATGGCAGGTGGAGTTTGAAACTTGGCTCAGTTGTCTTGCAGTCTAGAACTAAGTTGTTGCATCTTTGGTGAAGAACTTGTTGCAGCAAAGACCAAACTTGAATTGCTAATATAAAAGGTTTGTAAGACTTAGAATAATGTAGGTTTTAGAAGTTGGAAGGCACCTGTGTTTCAGTGCTTTGCAAAGAGTCTGTATTTCTAAAATCACAAATGGTGTACTACTCTTAAATGAAAATAAAATGTTCAGCTTTTCTAGATGTGCTATCTGCAGTGCCTTTTGTGCTTCGGAGCAGACTGTTCCCAAATCATTCCTTAGGAGCCGATTCACACCTGAAGGCTGCTTCAGTTTTGTGTGTGCTTGTTGCAGGGATCATCACTCAAACAGTGCTGATCTCGGGCAGAGCCTGGTCTCAGCCTGCACTGTGAGATGTTCTGCTCCTCTCAGCCATGCCTGGGTCTGTGTCTGGAACCCCTGTGCCTGGAGTGCTCCGGGGCTGCATCCCCAGTGTCACCTCTGCTCAGGGCCGATGCCTCTTTCCTCACAAGGGCACTTCAGCCTCTTACTGACCATACCAATAGGTGAAATTCAAGGTGTCTTCCTCCTTTCTCTTTTACCTTTGCTGGGAGAAGAGACTGACATGCACACAGAAAATTCTTGCTATTAAAATTCTGGATCCTGAAGCTGTAACTTTTTTCACAATAAATTAGTGCTTTACAGGTTCTAGGCCTTGAGTTTTTTCCTATTTTTAAAGCTCAAAGCAGGTTTAAAACCAAGTAGGTTTGTTTGTTTTTTTTCTTTTCTAACATTTCTTTTTAATTAAGGAAGGCGAGCTGGTAGCTGTAAAACCTTACGAACAGCCAGGCTTTCATAGACCAAGTCCCCACACTTCTATTCCCATCTCGTTTTTCCCCCATCCCTCTTTTCCATGCTCTCCCTTTTTCCCCGCCCTCTCCCCCACGGGCGGCTCCGGGCGCTGCCGGCGCTCGCCGCGGGTCCGCCCGCCCGCCGGGGGGCGCTGTCCCGGCAGCGTCCTGGCGCGCGCGGCCTGACCGAGAGGCGCCTCCGCCCCGCCGTGCCAGGGGCTCCGCTCGCCCGGGGCTCCCCGCCCGCCGCCGTTCCGCGCTCGGGGCCGCCCGCCCGCCGCCATGAAGCTCGTCAGGTGAGCGGGTGGGCGCGGATGGGGATGGATGGAGGCGGATTGCCCACGCCGGGCGAGCCCGCGCCCTCAGGGCCGCTCCGCGCTCTCCCCTGACCGCGGGCGGGAGCGGCCCGGGATGGGCCGGGCGGGGACCGCGGTGTGAGCCGGGGCCTGCGCGGGTCGCTCAGCAAACCTGTCCCGCTTTTCGGAGGGAAACCCCCCGGAGCGGGTTGGCGTTGCCTTCCCGCGATTGTAACGATTTTTAAAATGGTTCCTTCTCCGTACAATAATGGCCGTTTGGCCTGGAAGTGGATGCTGGATCTGGCAGTGTGTCACTGAAGCGTCCCAGCTCTGGTGGCTGGGCAGGACGCGGAGTGTGCCACTGAACATCCCCGGCAGGATCCGTGAGCGCCGGCCGGGGGAGCTCGGGATGCGGCACTGCTGGGTGCTGCCTGTCCCACACGTACGGCTTTGTGTGCAAGCGAACGGGATGGGGTTTTTAAAATGCGTTTTTAATTGCCAGGTTTCTAATGAAGCTGAGCCATGAGACTGTGACCATTGAGCTGAAGAATGGGACGCAGGTGCATGGAACGATCACAGGTACGGAAGGATGGGAGGATGCAGCAAAATACTCCCGGTTGCTTTTCGGCAGACAATTGGCATTCGCGGCTTGAATGAGTTTTTTGTCCTGTGCTCCCTCTTGCGGGGACCGGCACAGGGAAATGCAGGAGATGGGCTTTGTAATTCAATTCATAGCTTTATGTGCAAGCGCGAGGCGTGTTTGTGTTGCAAAAGTGTCTGGAAATTGTCGGGGGTTGCTGGGAACAGTCGGGAGCTGTGACCAGCCGGCTCTCCATAGGGAACCACGAAAGTACTTGGGAATTTCAGTGGGTCACGGATTGTCTTTGATGTGCAGCAGTGGGTGAGAGATTCGTTTTAGCGGTTCTGCTGGGAGCTGTAAATCTGGTGTAGCACTGGGAGCCTCTGCGCCCCGCTGCAGCTTTGCCTGCTGACAGGCTCGGGGGGGAGGAGGGAAGCAAACTTTTCCAAACCTTGCTCGGTAGTCTCTTGTCATTTTTGTAGCACGGTCACAGAGTCACAGAATGGTTTGGTTTGGAAGGGACATTAAAGATTATCCTGTTCTAACCCTCTGCCATGCACAGGGACACCCTCCTGTAGACCAGGTTGCTCAAAGGCCCATCCAGCCTGGCCTGGAACAGTGCCAGGGATGGAGTATCCCCAGCTTCTCTGGACAGCCTTTTCCAGCTGATGTGGGCTTAAATTGGTTAAATTGTGCATGCAGACAAAAAAATAATTATTCCTGTTGAGCACGATTTTGTTAAGGCAAGTCTAGATGGGAGTGCGTATTTGCATATGTTTGATTGTGTGAGAGGCGGGTTGGAGAACGCGGAGCTGGGTGTGGGATACAGGGCAAAGAGGAATCCTGGCCGAGAGAATCTGCTCCTCCCCTGCTGCCAGAGCTCTGTCCTGTACGTTCCTGGGGCTTCCTGATTACCTGGTGCTTCTTTATATCACTGAGCTGGAAGTTGCAGGGAATTCTGCAGGGTTCATTAAGTGGCTCTCAGGTATTAAAACATGTGCAAGGCGTTTTGTTTTCTCAATAACCCCAGTGAGGGACGTTGCTCTGAGTGTTCCCGTGAGCTGTAGTTAGGGCAGGTAGATGTGGGTGGGGCACAGTGTGTTTATGGAGGCAAACCCTCAGGGCTGAGCTGAGGAAGCTGCTGCATCTCCCTCACCGAACTCACCCCCAGGTGGCTTTCAGAAGCTCTTCTGCCCCAGCACTCTTGGGGAAAAAAAAAATAAACATACAACTCTTGTTAAGTTTGAGTTTTATTCCAGAGGATTGTTGAGGTGCTGTTTTGGCCAGCAGCAATCCGTGGGGATTTGGCAGAGTTCAAAACCGGCATTATGTTGCAGGCCGGTCCATCAGCTTTGATTAGGAGCTGAGGGAGCCAGCTTGGTGCCCGATTGCAGCACGCTCTGCTGAGCCCAGCAGATGGGAAGCAAACACTGCTGGGCTCCTGACCTCGCTGCTCTTTCACGCTTAATTGTTGAGCAAAGCCTCTCTCATTTTCTGGTAAGAATCTGCAAAAACATTGCGCAATGTCCTGTTCCTCCCAGCCCCAGGGCAAGAGCAGGGATGAGGGGACAGGTTTTGTGTAATGCCCCTCACAGCAGCCAAGGGACTGGGTCAGGTGGAGCTGTGTAAAATCCAGAGGGAGGGGGATATAGACAGAAAAATAAAACCACTGTCATTTTGATCTTCATAGCTGGAGATCAGATCCCACCTAAGCTCTATGCAAAATAAAAACTGCTGGGTTTTTTTAATTGCTCCTCACAGCTGTTACACAGTACATGCATCCAGCTGAGATGTTTTTTCCAGTTTGGAATTGTGCATAACACAGCATAGTGTGCACAGTACTGATTCCATACAATTCTTGTGTACTGGCTGTTCTCAGAGTTTGTAACCACAGTGGTTGTTCCTTGCAGTGGGGTATTTTCTGTACTTTCACAGAGAATTCACTCTGGTGTTGAATGTATTTTATCAGGAGGTAAATGTTGCTTTTGTGGTTGGATTTTCCTAAGATTTACAGAAAAAGGAATTTACCCAGGTTATTTTTTCTTCTCCAAGGGTTGTTTTTCTTCTTTTTTAAAGGACTAAAGATTAGTATTAGCCTTCTGCAATAAGCAGTAGTTTATTTGTTGTTCAGAAGAGTTTTTTTAACCATTTACAAAGCAGCTATTGCCAGGACCTGGATAAAGATCTCTAATCATGAGGAGCTAAAGGCCTCTCATGGTAACTGGATAATTCAAGAGAGAAAAGAGATGTAGTTCCATTCTGTGACAGGCTGAAGTAATTCATGCGTGGTAGAAGCAGGCATTGATGAACAGGATAAATCTCATTTCATGTGTGCGCTTAAAAACAGGCAGCAAGAGACCTTGTCCCTGACATGAGGCTTGTGTTGTTTCAGGAGTGGATGTGAGTATGAACACGCACCTGAAAGCAGTGAAAATGACTCTGAAGAACAGAGAGCCCGTACAGCTGGAGACCCTGAGTATTCGAGGGAACAACATCCGCTACTTCATTCTGCCTGACAGCTTGCCTCTGGATACTTTGCTAGTGGACGTTGAACCAAAAGTCAAATCCAAGAAAAGAGAAGCAGGTGAGTTTGTGCTTTCCTGGTCTGTGTTTGTTCTGCCTTTGTGTGCATTTTAGTGCTGTGTGTCTGAAGGTGTGTGATAGGAGTCTGTCAGTGTCTGCATTTGGCCCTGAATTCCTTCATCCCTGAGGGTTGGACATGGCACTGGCTCAGTCTGCCTTGCCCACCTCCTTGGCATCTGCAGAGCCTCATGCACATGAAGTTGTGTTATGGCTTTTCTGTTTTTCAACATGTAAATGTTTATCAGCTTGAGTAAGTCTTAACCTAACTGAGTCTTACAGTTGGCACCCAAAGAGATTTACTTCCTCTTCTCCAGGTGTCAGTGTTTGCTCAGTTTGTATGGGGAGCTTCACACAGATAACAAGTGCAGAACCATATCTCAGATGGTGTTGAATGGTTCACTGAAATTTGGTATTTGTGAATCTGATAGACTTGAGAACCTGAGGGAATCAAGGCTGTATTCCAGTGAGTGCATCTCCAGCTTTGGCTCCCAGTAGTTTTCCAGTCACGGCTCTTCTGCTCTTCCTGGAACTTTTTTTTTCAAAGTGCTGCTGAATAAAAATCTTTCTCTTTGGAAGCCTAGCAGTATAGACTGTAACTCAAGTTTAATCCACACTACTGAAGATGAGTCTCCAGTAAACCCCAGGAAATCAGCAGCAGTATATATTTTGCCCACCAGTTAATCGGTGTGTTTTAAAAACAGTGAGCTGTAAGTGAAAGCTAATTGTGCTCTAGAATCAAGTTGTACCATTTCTCCTGTAATTAGTGTTGAAGGATGTGGGCGTGCAGGGAGTTCTGCATTGGTGAAGAACCTCAGCTGTGCAGCACCCTGTGAGCACTGCAGCTACTGCCTTGGTGGGGAGTAAGGATAAAGCTCCCAGAGGGGCTTTGCTCCTCTCCAGTTCATTAAAACAATCTGACCACATAGAGAAATGAGTGTGGTTGGATTGCTTTTTCCTGAAGCTCACATTGTGATGTGAATGGGAACATCCCTATTTGGTGTCAGCTTTGGGAAGCAGCCCTGATAGCTCCAGTTGCCTCCATTTGATGCTCCCTGCATCCCCAGTGCATGGAAGCGCTCTCAGACCAAAGCTGTGTTGTGCTTTGCCTTAATCCATGAATGACCTTGGCCTTCAGCAGTGTAAACCCTTGATTCTGTCCCTAGCAAGTGGTGAGGAAAGGGCAGGATACTGGCTGGGCTGTGTGTGCCACGTGTGCCTTGTGTCCAAGCGTGCTGGCACTCGGTGAGCGCAGCTGCCTGTCATCCTCCAGCTGGGGCCGATGCTTCCGTGGATTCTGTATCTATCTGTCTATACAGGCTCAGTGTGTACCAGCAATATAATGACACCTTGCTTGAGTCAAATCTGTCCTGTGTCTCTGCTCCTTGTGTCTCTTCTGAATTTCTAACCTACATCCCAGAATAATTGTCACAGCCTGCTCCTTGAATGTTGGTGCCAGTGGGAGTCTCTTAGAGAGCCACTGCTGTTTTCAGAGTTTTCAGTATCTTTGTGAGCCCTGCGTTCAGAAGCACATTTTAAATGAACCAATAATCTAAAGTTTGCAGAGTGCCCTTGGGTCACATTTCTTTGTGAGACAGATGCAAAGGCACGTTATCACCTTATGGATCATATGACATTCAGGAGTTGCTTGTGGCCTGCACTGTCCTATGACTCTGTCTTCCCTTTACAATTAAATAGCAGTAATTAAAACTGGGAGCACACTGTCAAGACCTTTGCCTTAGAATCACACCTGCAATTGGCACAGGCATCACTGAGACCAGAAGGAGCTGGTGGATGCTGGGATCCTTTCAAAACGCTGACCTTCCACATGGTGCCTGAGACAGGATGGGTTTGGGAATCTCACAGTTTGTCAAAATTTGCATTTCTCTCTTAAAAAACTAGACTGTATATATATATATATATATATATATATATATATATATATATATATATATATATATATGGAAAAAGAATGAATCCTGGTTTCCTGTCAGATTACCCAGTCATTTGGGAGCAGCCAACTATTTTATGTCCTTGTTTTCTGCAGTGAATCCAAGGACAGACAGTAGTCTGTGCAAGGTGTATACTGGAAGAACTAACACAAAAGATGAAAATATTACCTGAAACTTACTGAGCATTACCAGACTTAATACCTAATGTAATATCTTATCACAGGGAAGCAGTGTGGTGATTATGCTCAGTACAGAATGCTTTAATCAAAAAGTATTCCTCGGTCTCACTTCATGTTCTCTTTTTCTTTTGCCTGCCAAGTTGCTGGAAGAGGCCGTGGAAGAGGCCGTGGCAGAGGCCGAGGTCGTGGAAGAGGAAGAGGAGGCCCAAGACGATAACTTCTCATCATATTCTGGGCAATTTCTGGGCAATTACCATATTCTAGGCAATTTCAGGTTTATTTTGTACAGGTCTTGTTTATGGTATCCATTTTTAATAAACGGAAATGTGAAAAGGTGTCTTTCCTTTGTTAGCAAAGCCTGGGGAGGGAGGCAGGTGTGTCCTGTTTCTAGGGCTGTCACAGACTACACACATCTGGCTTGTCACTGTTTGCCCACTCCGGGGGCTGTACATTTCCTCTTGCTTTTTGCCCCAGAACCAGAGACTTGTGTTGTGCTTTCACAGTGTTTGAAATGAATCCCTCTTTTCTAAGGCACTTGCCATCCTCTAATGCTTCCATAGCTAAGGTGCTGTGTTAAGAACCCCTGTCCCGTGAGTGTGTCTCTAATTGTCTCTAACTGTTTTTCAGAGCAACCTTTTCTAAAGTTCGTAGATATAATTTTAATGTTTTCTATTACATGAAGCTTGCAATTTAAACAATGTTGCTTTCTTTATAAAACATTTGCACAGGGAAATTAACCAGGTCCATGGAACTGCTGGATTGTTACACCTGATGATTAAAGAATACCTGGATATGAACTTTGTCAAAGCTAATTATATGGCATACTGTTGTTTGGGTGGGGCTCGTAAAGCAGCTTTATCACAGATATCTTCCAGTGTACTTAAAATACATCCCTAGGAAATACAAAGTACAGCACAGCACACAGTTGCATGCTGGAATTGGAAGCTTACTTCTGCAGGTGGGAGAACTTGTGCAGCTCACACATATGTGTGCATATATATAGATATATGCAAATATAAATATATATATTCACTGCTTTGCTGGACACAAGTATAAAAGAAGCCACATTGGCCACATTTATCTCCCAGTGCCATCCTGCTGATTATTCCCGTGTAGGAAAGCAATTGTCACATCTCATTGCCAGACTTAAGCAGTTTCACCTGTATATGAAATACAGATGTCAGTTCAAACAATGAGTATGCTTAAGTGTCTTGAACGGTTTGGGGGCGTTTGCTGGTAAATTGGTGCAGGAACATGCTTGGTTGTTCATGTTTCCACACAGGCAATTCTACAACAGTGGAAAATAATCACCTAATGTTGTGTAATGTGCTGGATAATTTGTGCTAGCTGGCATTTTGTGAGCTGCTCTTCTCCTTCTCGCCTCTTACAGAGGCCACTTTAAAGCTTCATCTTGTTACAGAGGAGCTTTTTTTCCCCAAGCCATTGTGGAACCTCCCAAGAGCACTTTTTGGTCAATATAGCACCCACCATTCTCAACTCTATAAGTAGCTGCTACAAATAATGGTTGCTGCTGTCTTCCAGAAGTGCCCAGTCACTGGTGACGGGGGTAAGGTCTCCCCAAATCCAGCTGTCAGCTCTCATGCAACAGTTGCCACTCGTTCCCTCTTCAGTCTCTTCCTTACAAAAGTCACTAGTGCTCCCAGGGGGATGCACATGGTGGATGATGCCACCAGCAGCCCGATCACCGCCAGGGCATAGCCCGGGTAGTCCTTGGTCACCAGCTGCCCCTGCAAGGGAGAAAAGCAGAGTTGGGTCTGTGGGATCTGTCCCAGAGTCGGGCCGGGAGCAGAGCTGTGTCCTAGGCAGAACCTCTGGGAAGCATTTGCAGTCTGTGGCAGCCCACAGCTGCCCTCGGTGTTCTCTGTCAGCCACACTCACTGAAAGCTGACAGGAACAGAGCTGCTGACAGAAGGACTGGGGGAAACTTCTGCAAGCTTTGGTAAAGAACAGATTTTGGCTTGATTTGTGTTTCTTAATGAGGTGGCTGGGCCCTGACCTCTGCCAGGGCTCTGTTCCTCTACTGGAGCCTGTGGGCTCATGCTGACACCCAGTCAACAGGCCAGGCCTCCCCTGAGTCCTAAATTGGCCATGACAGGAAAACAATTATGTGCTTTGTTCCTGCATGATGGAAACATTTCCACAAAATGTTACAAAACCAGTGATTGCTTATCCATAAGTAATTGCTCTGTGACAAATGCACAGTCTAGTATTCTTAAGAAAGTGTCCTGGCCATGAAGAAAAATGTATATGGAAATTATGAAAACTATTCTAGCAGCAGCTCAGCTTTCTTTAAGTTCCACTTATTTTGTTCAAAGTAAATACACTTTAAAAGTAGGGGGTTTTAGTGTATTTTCAAAGATGATATTTGGGTCTTCAACATGAATGAACTTTAAAGGATTGATTAAGAATCCTAGAGAGAAATTAGTTGATTTTGCAGAATCATTGCATCATCACTAAGTCAAGTATTCCCTGGTTTTCCTTTCCATAAAATTAAGGGATGGCCCTGACTCCAGCTACTCGCTTTCAGAACGCCATTTTGTGGAAGAGTGTAGTTAGAAGTTTGTATCCTTGCAGGAAGTAAGGAAGGTCTAAAACAGAAAAAAAGTGCAGACCCAAACCTCTTACCTGTGTGGCATCCCACGCTTGGTATTGCAATGTTCCTGTGAGGATGTAGTCGGTGATGTAAAAAATAAATAGGCTTATAATAAGCAGTGGACTAACAAAAGCCCACATAATTTTCCAATACCAGTTTGGCTTGCGTCCAATCATGGTGTAAAGATCTTTCTCAAATCTGTTCAAAAGAAAACCAAACATTTTTGTGAAGGAAACTGAACACGTATTTTTGAGACTGGCTACAGATACTTGATGAATACCTTGTTCTGAGTTACTTCAAAAGCCACCTACAGAATTGAGGATGCCAGATGAGAGAGGGGTGTACAGTTGGCCACAAATGAGCAGAGAATTATTGTCTGAAAAGCTGGCTCACCAGAATCACAGTGAGGGGGAATTCAACAAAGACAGCGAGGCTTCCAAGAGAATCCCAAGTTGCAGAGAGTAGCTAGAAATAGGTACAGCAAGAAAGTTCTGCCTGAAGCATAAGCTTGAGCTGTTACTGGTGTCAGCTGACAGAGAAAAGGAATGATGCTGTAGTGCTGTGGAGAAAACTGCTGGGTTTGTGTAGCTGAGTGCTCCCAGTGCTGTTACCTGACTGTCTTAGGGGAACACTGAGACAGGGAATGGTACCTAACATCTCACAGGACGCCTGGACCTGACTCAAAGGCTTTGAACTCATCAGGGAGGAAATACCCACATATGTGCCTGGACACCCTCTGTGCTGGCAGACCAACAAAGCAAATGCTGAAGCCTTTCCTGTCAGCTATTTTCAAATGCCTCTGCTGTTCAAAACTTCTCCTGATTCCAGAGCTTCCTTTTACCCACAAGGATTGACTTGGGAGACAAACAATGTGCGAGGTGACCACCTTTGAAACCAGACTTACTGGCACTCTTGTGCTCATGCTGAATTCCTGTCATGGGAGGAGCAGAGTTTTGGTAGAAGTTGCTCCTAAGACCAAAGACAAGAGCAGGGAGCTGTGTATATAATTCCTTAGTACTGCCCTGCCAGCAGAGATGGTGTCAGCCCAGCCTGGCCCCTCACAGCCCTGAGCCAAAGCCCCAGAAGGGGTCTGCAGGGCAGGGGACACCCCCATCCCCTTGCTGATCCTATAGCACAGGAGAAATATTTATCCCAAGGCAGTATTTTTATTCCTGGCCCGTGGCTGCTCCCCCAGCTGTGGGACTATGAAGGAAGCAGGGCTCCAGCTTTACCTCCTTATGCCATAGATGTAACACACAGCGATGGTTTCCACCAGCACGATGAGCAGCAGCGACAGGGTGGCTGCGTAGTCGTTGAAGATGTCAAACCAGTAATTTCCAGCCTCCATGGTGAAGATCAGGCCAATTATACAATTCACAAAACACACAACACCTGTGGGGATAAAACAGGGATCCTGCCATTACACCCGGAAGTTTGTGTAGGGAAAATGTCACATTTCTTGTGACTAACTAGCTGGTGGGATTTCTGCTGAGCAGCTCTCTGAGGAGAAGGATTTTCTTTTCCCTGTGGAAAAGACCTGCCCCTTAGCATGTGTGACTGCCATTAAACTGCTGCTCTTTAGACCTGCACAGTCACTGCACATCATCCCAGAAGTGGCCAAGACAGCCAAGTTTTAGCTACAGCCTTGTCACACGTGCATGCAGCACCTGCTGTTGCTGCTGGGCATTCAGCTAAAACAAGTTTTTTAAAACTGATTTCCATGCCCAGACAGGAGCGTGTATTTCTTTTGACCAATGACTGAAGTGGTTCATAGTTGGGATACTGGTGATGTGACTGAACAGCTTGCTGCAACTATGCTGCCATTTGTACCCTCCCTTTGAGCATCACCAGTCAGGAGACACGAATCTGAAGGAGCTGGGGTGTGTTAGGAAGCCTGGGAATACACAGCCATGACTGCCCTGGTGCTTTGGGAGCTCCCAAGGGAAAGGCCTGCACAGGATGGCCGGATTTCACAAGGGCAGGCAAACCCTTCCAGCAGTGTATTTGCCATTCCCTGCTCCACCCGAGGTCAGAGAGTGGAGTGGCACTTCACCCAATGGCAGTGGACACCACAGCTTGTGCACACACACACACACACATGCACACACACACAAAAACATACATACACACATACACACACACACAAAAACACACACACACACAAACACAAACACACACACAAACACACACACAAACACACACACACACACATGTACACACACACACACACTCACACACACAGAGGTGCTCCCCTGTGGCCCGTGAGCAGCCTGGCAGGTGCTTACCCGAGATCACCTCCTTGGGGAAGCGGGAGGCGATGGCCCTGCTGTCGGTCAGCGGTGTGAGGATGGCAGCCGTGTTCCCCAGCATGCTGCCAATGCCCAGCATCAGCAGCATGAAGAAGTAGAGCACAGAGTACAGCTGGGGCACCTCCATGTTTTTGATCGCCTCTGAATAGACAATAAATGCCAGTCCTGTCCCCTGGACGGCCTGATGGAGACAAGGGGAGAAAAATGAGTTGCAGGCAGCTCCTCAGCTCCATAAAGGACACACAAGAGTGTGACTCTGTGTCATGGCAGTGTACACCTCAGGTGTGGCTTTGCACAGCAAAGGCAGGTGAGGTCTTCACCAGTTTATCCCAACTGCATGGACACTGGATGCTAATGGCCCTAGTGAGCCCCTGCCCCGTCCTGAGGTGTAGAAATGATCCCCAGCCCTGGCCAGGCAGCTCCTGGGCTCAATGGGAGCAAAGGAGAGGCCACAAAGCTGCAACTCACCGTGTCTAGCTCAGCTTCCAAGCTGCAGTTTTTGATCTGTGGTGCTAATTGGGCAAATTCCTGTGGGTAGGTGGCCATCAGGTAATCTTTCATCTCATTGAGGTTGTCTGCTGTTAAAGAGCCTTCCTCCAGGTCAAAAGCATTCAGCAGCAGCAGGATCACCCTGGGAAGGATTACAGGAATTTAATGGCTTTCAGGCCCAGGGCTCCTCATCTCTTTTCTCCATCAGCCCCAGGGAAATGCTTTGCTGGTCCCAGGGCTTCAGTGTCCCTGGCTGAGAGCAGCACTTCCAGCACAGTGCCAGGGCACCAGCAACCTTGTGCTTATTTGTGCCTTGCAGGGAGCAGCTCCTGTGCCCACACTGCTGCTCCCAGGCAGGTACCTTGACTGCTGGCCAGTGCTGCCTGGTGTCTCTTCCCCTTTGCCCTGCAGTCTCACGTCCACACCCCACCAACTTTAAAGTCTTTTGTCAACAAGCAAGGACTAGCAGCTTGGTTTCCTCTCTGATCAACAGATGGATTGAAAGCTCTAAAAATATGAGTAAATGTGTAACTGACGTGGGCCCTGTGCCAGGGACTGCACGCAAGCTTGCAGCTACAGGACACAATCCTGCAGGCTGCTGGGCACTTGCAGAGCATCACAGCCAAGGAGGATGAACTTGTGGAACTTTAGGGCTTAGCCTTAAAAAAGGGGATCTGAGCATCACTGCCTTTATTAATCAGCTCCCCCACACTCCCTGAAGTATGAACCAGGACAAGAATACAGGAGAAAGTGCCTCTGTGACTTGGCAAGCAAACTCACC